AAAAGCTGATTAGTCACGAAGCAATTAAAGTGTGTTAGTCGTGTTCCCAATTTGAATTTCGCGACAAACAAAAAAAAAAACAAAAAAAAAAAAAAAAGAATTGTATATATAAAATATGTAATAAATCAAATAACAGCTTCGGTAATTTGACAAATTACCCTCGCTACACTAGAGGCATGAATATTTGTTGTAGTACGCTTTCACTGTACTATAAAGCTAAACGGTTTACTACTGTAAACTACAGTAAAACAAGTTCTAAGTTACGAAATCTTTCGGCCTCAAATCACTCCAGTCTCATTGGAGCCACCCCAATCCCAAAACTGTTTAGCTTTACCTTTAGCAACGCTAGGACCTATAGTCAGAAATCGTTTATAGTTATCGCTGTTTGATATTTTTGCCAGATAGGGCTTCGAGAAGTCTATAAACGTGACCTTAACATCGCGCATTGTACGCTTCGTTAAGAACTTTAGACGGAAACGTTTCGCAATAGAAGACGAGGGCGTCTGATTGGACAACTTGGCTGCCATGAATTCCGTTTCGACGGCTTGCAGTTCAAGCGTATTGGCATAATCTGAATCGACATCATAGAAGATCTCATCGAGTGTCAAATTGCGTAGATAATGCTCGGCCGTTTCATTGAACCAATCAGTTTCAGTGTCTGCTGCTATTTCCAGTTCATCGAGTGAGGGGGTTGTGGTGATGTCATCGATGCGGGGCAAATAAGAATCCTCGATGAACTCCAAGCTGACAGGCTCCGATTCGCTTCCCATACTGTATCCCTCTCTGGCTCTCTCTCTCTCTCTCTCACACACACGCCCAGTCTCTGTGTGGTTTATCTCATGTTCAGCAGAAACAGCGAGCACTTTCTAATTGGAACGTGGCGGCGTACATTTCAAAGCGATCGCTCCGAACAGATTTGTTTTGTATTTTGTTTGCTTTGTTTCGGTTCTTCTGCTTTTACCCATAGTCTTTCTACAGATTCATGTCTGAAAAGCGTTTTCCCCTTTTTCCACTACCAAAACATAACTAAAGCGCGTTCTCTTGCTGCCACGCGCTGACAGAGCAAAACTTGAACTGAGCCCAGATTCCAATTGGTAAGCTTGCAGAGCTCTGCTGGCCGAACTAACTGTAACTGTAACTCAACAAGTTGGCAACACCAAAGCAAACAGCGAGAGGATGAGAGAGCGCAAAAGCTTAACTTTACAAGAAGAGTAAGAAACTGCAAGATTGTCTTTGCAGTCGTATTCGTTCTCTCTCTCTCTCTCTCTCTCTCTCTCTTCAGTCTGTTTATCAAGGGTTTTCTTATTGGCAATGCCAGAGAATTGCATGATCAACAAGTGGAAGATTGGCTCAAACTGTACGAATCTCTCTCTCTCTCTCTCTCCTTCAATTTAGAGATATGGAAAATTATATTGAAAATGATTTGTGTCCGCAATTGACGTCGCAACATAAACAAGCCACAAAATGTAATAAAATTGTTATATGCCATAGTTAATTTTTTGTTGTTCTATATTCAATTAAAAATAAACTAGGCGAATTGGGAGGCGTTGCCAGGGCTTGTTATTGTTACCGTTGTTGTTGTTGTTGTTCATGCAACAATATGTAAATTGTACACAAAGGCCACAGCAGATTCACAAGCTGTTTGCCACGTTGTCAGAATTTGCATCGATAATGTAAATATTTAAATGGATTTTGAATTTGTGGCAATTGTCGAAATAACTCTCACGAGTTTAATGCATTGCAGCCGCAGCGGAGGGACAGGCGCAAGCAGGCAATCCAATCAGACTTTTGGCTATGACTCATCTAAATTGTAAACAGGCTACCCGTTGTGCAGTCGGCCTATATGCCTTCCCACCTACAATGAAATGCCTTTTTTAGTTAAACCCGCCATCTAATTAGCTAGTTTCGCGACAGAAAAGAATAGGTTCCAATAAGCGAACCAGGGATCACGGTGAACACGCGACCACTTTCTCAACTGCATGCGGCAAATAGATGTGTCAAAGGCCACAGCCGATATTCTACATATTTTTATATATAGCAAACACTTACGATCCTCCATTGCTGGGCTGTTTTTGCGTTTTCCTTAATGTTGCAGCTTGAAATTTAATTGGGTTTCAGCACAATTTCGACAATTTACTTTTTTGTTGTTAACAAGAACTTTGACGAAAGAAGAAGCACGGAAAAAGTGGCTGTGCTTTCTGATAGATTAGTGATGGTCAGTCAGGCCAACAGGCTTATCGATAGTCGAGCGTGCGGCGTTGCCAGCTGCTTAATACATTATGCAGCGCCAAATTCAAAACAGTATATATGTTGAAATATATAATATATATATTTTTTTTGTATTTCAAAAGAAATAAAAATACATCGTTTTTCGTATTTGAATAACCTGCTTTGGAAAAAAATGGCATAAGTGAAAATTGTCATGTCATATTTTTTGTTGCTTTTCAGCTTACTTCGTCACTTCGTTTCGCTCTTACATTTGATTTACGTCCGTTAATATAGGAAAATATATACATTTATATACTTTGTATTGTATTTACTACTTTTTCTTAGAGTTACTAATGCAGTTGGTTGTAAATATGTATATTTTAAAAAATTTACAATATCAGGTCTGTTTTTCTTGGTGTTTCTTTTTTGTTTTTTTTTTTTTCTTTCCGTTTCTCATTTTTTTGTTTTTGTTATCGAAAGAGAAATAATAAGAAAAACAAAAGAATAAACTAAAAATGATGGAAATCAAACTAAATAATTGGTTTACGTTTTTTATTTGTTTTATTTTGTTTGTTTTTATCGTTTTTTTATTGTTTGTTTTTGTTGGTAGTAAAAAAATGGTAATATTTTTTATATTTTGTTTTAATTTTTCATACTTTTCGTGTTTCAACTTTAAATCATAAAACAGGGTCTGAGCGCCGTGTGTACATATAAATATATATTGAAAGTTGTTAAGTGGAAAATATAAGTCGAAAACAATTTAATATAAATCAAGATGATTGCACAAAATTAAAATGTTTATATTCATTTTGAAATGTGAATGGGATATAAAACTGGAGCAAAAGCAGGCGTGCGTTTTGTATCATATCATATCATATATATAATCTGTACATACTTATATGATATATAAAAGTCAATAACCATTAGCTTTAGTTCTTTGCTAACCCTGAGCTGA